TAAGGATAAGAAAGACCAAATTTTGGCTTTGACTCTGTTCATTTCGGCTGACGTAGCTCTGAGTTAGTGATTTATTTGTAAGCATTTCTAAGGCCCTGTTGTGTAGAATGTAATATATTAATGTCAGTGTATTTGTTATTTATGGCCGTCAGTTTATTGCTGACTTTTTATCAACCGCTCTGAAATATTTTTTTAGCTTCAAGAACTTTACCACCTTCTGAACGAAAATTATGTCGAAGACGAAGACAATATGTTTAGATTCGATTACTCGCCGGAATTTCTGAAGTGGTAAATTTTTATGAAATTCTGAAGTGGCACTTAGCAAATAACCTTGGTTTCCTTCAATGAATGAAATTCGAACTTCTGTGTAGCGTAGAACCAAGCGTAATTCCGGGCTGAAGGAAGGAAGATTTGTAAATAACCGTTAGGATGTCGGTCTGCCACACAGTTCCATGATTTACAGTACCTTTTCTTTTTCCATATTACGGTGTTGATTTACATCACGATGCCATCTTCCTGGAGTGCCGTGCTTTCTGAACGTAGCAAGCGATAGCAGATGACCAATAATTGTAATCTGCCTTCTTCTCAAGCAGTGCTTCCTTACTGAGCATACCTCGAAATCATGGTTCTTTTATTGTTAAACCGACGAACTTTTTTGATAAAGCGGCTGGTTGCATAAATGAACTAAGGTGCTTGGATGCTTTAGCTTTTTCTGTTTAATAAGTGTGATTAGAGCAACAGCGTACCCCTTTATTAACGATGTTTTACGCCACCGGATCACTTAACGAATGACTTTTTCTTTACCAGATTTCACGATGTATTGCACCGTATAGTTGCCTGGGGGCACTTTAGCAGGCCACGACTCTAGGCTAGATAATGATGCAAGGTGCATCTGACGCTGCAGGTATTGAAATACCAGCAACTAGGAGAAGGGGGGGACGGACAGTGCATGTGATACCAATGCCAATAAAATGAAATCTGTTTTTTTCCAGTTATTCGTCATTTGACATACTCGGGTATTTCAACAGCTCAATTCATGATGTTGTGCGATAGCATGATAGGAGTACCAACACATGGAATATTGTCGTAGTGAGCGAGAAATGGCTCTAAGGAATAAAATGTTGAAGTTACAACAGTTGCGCAGCCATTACCTCACTTATGTCTTTGTTGCCAGCCGATGGGATATAAGAGGACTTGTTGGCGTGCGTATCTTTTCAAATGATTATATGCCTTTAGGGGTTAGTTCAGTCACCAATCATCTGTAATAGGAGCTGTGAAAGTGAGGAGTCATGCACGTGGGAGGACTGTTTTGAGATCTGTGTTGCAAACTGTATGTGCATAAAATTACAGTTTCTCTTTAGTTTACTATGGCGATATATTCCATAGAACAGCAACTTTTATGTAAACGGCGTAAATTAGACATGATGTTATTGTCTAAATTAATCATTTACTGTTACAATGGGTGAATGTGTTCAGTGAACAGCATTTCATAGTCGCTGACCTAATTTAAACCACCGTTAACTAAATATTAAGAACAAAAGTTAAACAGGTCCAAGTAAACTTCAAAAACAGGAAGGCGGCAAATATAGTTATTCGTTATTTATTTATCACTATCACGCAAGATTTAAATGATCAAGAATGCAGATTTTGAATAGTCTTCTCTTGACCTAGTCTGCATGATACTTTACTTGAACGAAAGGTGGGAGTCAACAAATGTCGCTATAAAGAATAAAAGTGGCTAAATCTCAGCGGTTACAATTTTTATCCTTTCAATTCATTGATTGCACAAATTATTTTGTCCACCTTGTTTCGAAGGCAAATCGAGGACTGCCAGTATTTTAACAGTTGTTCAACTATTTAGGGCGTTGCAGCCGCCAGGGTGGCTTGGAGAATGGCATTGCGGCGTTAGGGTGTCGAAGAACAACAAGCTTGTATGCTTTATCTGCGCTGTGCCATGCAAAGTGCGAGTGTACAACAAGTAGGTGTTTTCTTGGAGCGTTTGTGAAGTTCGCCCAAAGCACTTTGCTTTTCATGTTTTGAATTTTGCCAATGGTCGAAATCAACTTTCTGTGCGTACACAAGAAGCTGAGATCAAAGCGGGTGGCGCCGGTGCTCATTCGTGAAATCACGAGGCGGGTAAACCGTAAGGGAATCTTTCAAGCAGTGTACACAGCCGGTGTCGTGCTACCGCGCCCAGTCAGCACCTGTCGGTATGTTCTCCTCACCGGATTGTTCCGGCGTTCTGCGACCATGTGAAAGTTTTTAGCTACTGGCATCGGTCGTTAAATCCAAAGAAACTGATCGAAGTCAAATTCTCCCATCTAGGCAAGAACATGACCATGCAGAGGACATCAAAGCTCTACAAGCTGGCCAATGTATGACACCATCCGTCGCACTGATGCCTTTTTTGCCCCATTCGTTGTTTTGCAGGAGGTGAAAACCGAAGGCTTTAGGGCGTTCGAATCGAAGGATGCCAAGGGCGCTTATGTTTTGCTCGACGCGTATCTGAAACAGTTCGACCTCACTCCGGTTTTCACCTACGAGGAGTTCGTCCACTGGTTTACGCCGCGGAAAAACGTCATTAGTACTTTTGTTGTCGAGGTAATGTTTTTCTCTCAAAATTTGTTCCCTTTGTTTGATAGCTGTATCATGGATGTAACTGATGCTGAGGCCTGAGAGGAGTAGTGCTGTATCGTCAGTGGTTGAAGCACCTCTGAGAATATCTTCGTCTTACGATAGATTGTTAAGAAATCGTGGAAGGTCGATCTTCCGGTTTACATATGCTTTGTGGACCTAGAGAAAGCCTAGGACGCGATCCCATGCAATAATCAATGGAGTGCCTGCAAACATATTAATGTCCAGTTGCTGCAGGCCATGCAGTCACTATTTGCTGCGTCAGAGTAAATGGTTTAAGTTGAAGCTTCATCTTAACATTGTCACTGGTTTCCGCTTAGGCTATGATTTGTTACCACTGATATTTGTGCTGTTCATAGCTGGAACAGGCAGACACTGCCTGGATGATGGGAGTAGGAGATTCGAAACGAGAAGATTGCAGTGCGCAGACAAACCCAACCATGTTTTATTGGGATCTTCTGAAAATGATCTAAAATTCACTCCGGAAAGGTTCGCAGCTCTCTGGCGGCATGCGCGTGAACGTACCCAAAACGGAAAACATAGTGACTTGTCGTTCTCCTGCTTGTTGCTCTCCTCAGGTAAACGGAGAAATGGTGAAGGAGGTTTAGAAGTTCAAGTACCCCAAAGTTGTATTTAGTGGTGGTGGAAATGGGAGAAAATGATGGACCGATGAATTGGAATGGCTGTGGTTTCCTGTGTGAAATGGTTGAAACGGTTGCGATTAAAGCAGAGTTAAGTCTGAACACTAAGCACTCTCGATGTTGATGCCAACCTGCGATCGTGACTGAAAAGTCGTGACCATGACTGAAAAACTTTGATTCCGAGTACAAGCAGCTGGAATGGACTTTCTGAAACAAGTTGCTGACCTTACTCGTTCTTGAATGATCCAAAGTACAGTTATTTGAAAAAGAGAGAGCCTTGGTATACAGCCGCTGCTTCTTCATGTTGAGAAGTTACCGTTGTGATGGTTGGGTACGTGTTGCAAATGCTTTCAGAAAGGAAGTCGAAACAACACCTACTAGCGAGATAGATTCTCTGAAGACCCTGGGGACGGCCATGAATAACCTGGATCAAGTGGTCAGAGGACTCTGCGCCAGACCCAGCTTATCTTTTGCTAAAATTCAGGCGCTGGTGCTGCATTGAGAACGTTAGGAACATTGTCTGACGCGTCTCTTTCCATGACCCGAAGTAATCAACGGTCATCGAAACTGAGTGAGTGACTGATATTCACATTAGAAATAATGATCCTGATATTCAATTTACATAGTTCAATTACTTTTAACTTCGAAAAGTGTACACAGTTATTAATTATAAATATTAAACCCAGTTACGTGGCGGGAGATTTTTATTCCTATCAGCGGTATCGAATACCAGCTGTTGGTAGCAAAACCATAACACAGAGCTTCATTTTTATGTATCTAAGTGCTTATGGATGGTGGCAGTTTGGTAGGAGTGGAACTGATTTTTGTTTGGCAATGCACGATCAAGCGGGTTTAAATTTGTGCAATGTAAGCGCTAAAATACTGTGGAGCTGTAGCCTGCTAAAACAGTCCCCAGGGGGTTATTAAATGCAAGTAGGCGGTGGTGGTATTACGCTGTGTTAATCCGGAACACTAACTGGAGATTGTTATTCTTTTTTTCGGTATCAAAAACTAACAGTTTGCTTATAAACCGACGATACCATGGTTTTTATGTACAGCTGTTGTGTTTGTTAACACCGAAACATATTTGTGTATGTCAGTCAGACAGACAGTTAAGATTTTCGCTTAACTTTTCGGTTCTTGGAGGC